TTCTAAATGCAGGTAAACTAAGACTGCCTCTCCTTCTATTTGAAAATTTACGATCTATAAACTTTGCTGTAGTCTTATTCTTAACTAATTGATATTTCTGCACATTTTTAAATCTGAGGATTGTGAAGTTCTTTTAAAATGCTTGAAAGTTCTTCACTGTAGAAAACTGTATTCTTAATTGCCTTGCAGGAATAAAAAAAATGCAGCCACTTGTGTGTGTGGAAGCAAAAGGTTTGCTAACATATGCTTTGAATGAGTTCTAGAAAGTATGTTTTCTCTAAATCTTGCTGTGTTACAAGAAAAAGTAGTTCACAATATCTGCTGTAAGTAATTCAGATTTTTTTCCACCTTATTTGAGATAAGGATGCTGTTTACCATTTCCTCAATTTGAAGAATGTCACGACCACACTGAAGTCTCTAGTAACTACTAGTAGCAAGATCAGTGTATTTTTACGAAGTACATTCTTCTACCATGACTGTCCCTACTTTCCTCCTCTTAGTAATGGTTTTCTTAATTTCAGTATTATGGAGAAGCTGGAAAGGGTAAACCCAGATATTTGATTCCCCTTCTCTTTAATTTCATTATATTTACCCAGACAACATTTACAAAACTACAACATACTGTTACAGGAAAAAAAGAAAATTATTAATTATTAAATAATCATTTTGTCTTGGTCTGATTCTTTCTAGGCAGAGAAACTATACTGAGCATGAAATATCCATCTGTGCTGAAAGTGGGAGTTACTTGTTTCGAATGTTTCATTTGTAAATTTCTAAAATGTTGTTTACCTGTCCATCAAGAATGCAGGCTGAGTGATAAGTACTTTTTGCATGTTTGTCAAGAAAGGTGCCTCTCTGTTTTGAGGCTTGTTGAGGCACTGAGAGGTGCAAAATCTAAGATTTTTGTTTTTATTTTTAGTATTATGGTTTAAACTAACAAAAGCGTAACTCATCAGCTTTTGCCATAACTTTTACCATTAATCACTTTTATAAATACAGTCTTTCTATGAGTTTTGCAGGAGATAAATGTGAATAGAAAATTCGGGAATTTAATGCAGACTATCAGTAAAGTGTTTTAAGATGTGAAAGAAGGGTTGGTGAGGGGAAAGTTTTCTACTTACTAGTGTGAGGTCGTGTTCCGATTTGTTGAGAGCACCTGGGATTTTTAGAAGTCCAATCAGTTACTACTGTTTACTCTTTCACTGTGTTCTCTCAGGAAATCCAAGTGGTGTTATTTTAATGGTGTGGGGGATGTGTTATGCCATTATGTTTGTAGTATCTCATGCAAGTAGCATGGAATATAATATTGGACATGCAAAATATTGGAAAAGTGGAGTGAACCTTTGTGCTGTAGGATGACAGGGAAATTCTCAAGGAGGTTTTCCGACAACAGCGAATGCTTAGCCTTCGTGGCTGTTAGAGTAGTATCTCCTCAGCTGTGAAATACAGACTGATGAATAGAGTTTGCTGAAGCTAACAGCAGTTGCAAATGTTGACTATTTTGGATGCTGTCACCTCCTTTGCATATGGCAGTCTGTAGTCTGAAAAGTACTATAATGGACTTATCTTGATTCCAGTAATGTGACAATTTCTGCTTCTGTTAGACCCACTTTTCAGCGTAAAATTTTCTCCATATCCAGTTTCTCTTTAGTGTTTTCTGCAAAACTGCCTATGGAAAGAGATTAAAGAGAAGCTTTCATGCAATCATTATTATTTTTGAGTCCTGTTTCCTGTTTACAATGTTGGGTTTTCTTTTTTAAAATACAGTTCTTTCACTGCTTTTCTCATTCTTCAGGATGGTTAGATGGGAAAACACGTTATGGGTAACACCATGTTGTTCACAGATTACTGTGATAATGCAAAATGATTGTGAAGCCTGAAAGAAAACTGTATTCTGTGTGATACAGAGTTTCCTAAGGGCAAATACGCTTTTTTCCCCTTGTTATGTCTGTAGCTGTTAGATAAATGTTGTCTGACAATGTTTAGTTCATTCTGCTCCATTTTTCCACTTAAAATTTGCATAGTAGATTCTGTTCTCTTATATTTGTTTCAAAAATATCATATTGAAGTGTAGAAATGTAAATGTTCTCATCCTGACTTACAGCCTAAGCAGCTGAGCACAGCAGCTATTTTGTGGGTATTAGGCAAGATGTTCTGTGCTTTGATATAACAGCTCCTAAAGAAAGTGCATTGCAACATGAATTTATAGCAAAACTTTATGCACTTAGTCTAGTAAAACACGTTGATGGCGGGGAAGAGAGCGAGCTGTTGTAAACTACTATAAAGTACAGAAAATTTCTGCTTTCCCTCCTTTGTAACCAGCGTAAACTATTGAGGTTAAGTAGGTGGGGCAACCGGAAGTAATTACTAAGGCCAGTGGCATTTTTGCGGTTTAATAAAGGCAGAAGCTAATTATTCAGTTTTTATTTAAGTGAAATGATGCCAAAAAGGAGGTTCCTGCAGAGCAGCTGCACTCCTTCAGTGTTACCCTAATTTACCACAGACACAACTGTCACAAACAGAACTTTTAAACTTGATATATAGCCACGAAAGTAAGGAGCCCTTTGTCTGGAGTGCATGCAGAAGAACTCCTTTATACAAATCAACCGGCAGATGACGGACAATGATGAAAATTTGATTCTTTGAAGTCATAATGGTCATTGAAATGTGTGAAATTCTGGTATTGAAAAGAGAGCGGCTAGCAAGACTCTGAATCCTGGGTGGTTGCTGGAAGCTTGCTGGGAGGTTTTTCTGTGTTTTGACATCAACTTCCCATTGCTTGTTCCCTGTTTCCTTTATCAAAAAAAAAGAGGGGGGGATGCTAAACAGTAGATAGTTGATAGTGGTTATGTACAGGTTTTGTCTATGCGTGGAAAGACATGTCATAGGAGAAACATGACACCTTTATGCACACCTGACCCATCTATTCAAAAACACTTGTTTTCAGAGATACTTTCAATCATCTTGTCTCTTT